GCCTGAGTGAGCATTTTACTTTCCTTAACTATATGGAAATAGGAAATGATTTGGCTCAGTAAAATATTGCCAAAGGGAACTTTTGGATTCCTGCCCAGCCATCTGTAATTAATTGTAAAAAGACAGAAAAGTACTAGGTAAATATTTGGATTAAAATTAGAGAGGAAAAAAAGAAAGTGGGGTTTAATTCAATTATTTCATGCACAGCTTGGTCAGAGACATGTGTTAGATGGGTTTTTAATTTATTTATTGATTTCTTAATTTCTAGTTATTTGAGTTATTTAATAAAATGCTAAAATATAATTCAGGTTGGACTTGCAGCCATTTGGGATGGGGAAAAACGTGGTATCATGAGATACAGATGATGGTGCCATTGGTCAATATGATGCAGATATTTTCAAAACACTATTAACTAAATAGGAGCTGGAAGCAGAAGTTGGGGTTTTGGACTTCTAACCACAAAAATAGAGTTTGGAGCTAGAAACTGGAAGTGAAAGTTGAGGCAGTTGGTTAGGGGCCTTGAACCCCCTATTTGCCTGGTTGTAAATTCTACCCTTTCCTTATTCCTTATTAGCGAAATCAATTGGAAATAATCAGAATTTAAACACAAGATGTTACATGAGATGTGTTATTGTCATGTAAAACTGAAACTTACATTACACAAGTTCTTTCTACAGACATTTCTCAGGATAATAAAGTGATTTATTTGGATTAACAGACCAGCAGTAGACCTTCTGAGATGCTGAAATATCATTCTTTTTATCTAGCATTTGTTTAATTCAGCCTGAATTAAAAATACATAACCACTTAAAGAAAGTTGACCAATCAATCCCAAAAGAAATCTCTGAAAAACAATCGAATAATGTTCGCCGCGTAGACTTGAATATGATTAAACCTCAGCGGGAAATATAATGCAAAAAAATTCCATTATGTTCTTTTTTTTATTGCGTGTTGAAAAGCATTACCGAGCAGGCACTCAAACTTTTAAGTGTTGTGCCTGACTGTTATGAGCAGTAAACAGTACAAATCATTCTGGAGATAAATCACGCTCTTGTACAAATGTCACATAAATGACTCAGAATTGGCGCATCCTCAGCTCCGCCAAACGTCTCAGGCACGTCTTCTTTCCTTCTGAGTTCACTGCATCTTCTATACATCTGCAGTAAAGTGCAAATCACTTCTTATTTAATGTAATCTTCAACTTAGAGTGAGTTCTACAAGTGTAACATTCATCACCCACACCAGTCAGAAAACATCGCCTGCTTCTGCGCCTCAAGAAAGAACTCCAATTAAGTAACAATCTGTTTCCTTGTAATTATATGTACCAGCTTGCTTAAATTAGGCTGAAACCCATTACAGAATTAGAACTTGAAACTGGGTCAAGAGCGTGTCACTGTGTTTCTACTCAAGCAGTTGTGGCAGAGGGGGAAATAATGGTTGTAGTGTAAGCAGGGGCCTCGCGAGGTGTCAAGATGCCTGGCTCGCTGGTGGAGACGGGGGCCTCAGGAGTCACTGACGCTTCCTTCACAACACCCCGGTCAAGATTCCTCAGACAGCCACAGAGCTGCTTCGTCAACAAACAAATGCTTGTTTTCTACTCATTAGTGCACTCTGGTGAAAGAGAATGGAGGGGGGAAAAAACAACTACCCAACAGTGGCTGGAAGGAATGGCATGTCAACTCATGTTGCACATTCTGCCTCTTTCTTTCTCTCCTGCTTGGGGGGTGTCAAAAATAAAGGCACTGTGGGGGGAGTGGGGGTATGTTTGTGTTTTAGCTGTTGGTTATAGGCAGTGAGTGTGTACGAGTGGGTGTCTTTGTGCTTGTCTAATTATCTTTAAGGGGAACATACACTTCTAAACAACTTTGGGGATGTCAACTTTAGGAACACTTTTTGGGACTTTGGGATAGATCAGAACTTTTGGAATACACCGGTGAAGATGTTGATCATCACTCACTCTATATACAACTAGAAAAGGACTCGGAGAGCGCAGACCTCCACCAAGCAGCTCATGTCCCCCCTTAAATTAGAAATGCCTTGACTGGGATTCAAACCAAGGACCTTCCAGTTGTGATGTGACAGTGCTAACCACTACACCACTGTACCGCCCATTGGTTATCTTTCAGCATTGAAAATTCCAACGACACCCTTATTTTTGTGTGTTCTGGATCACAGTATCCGGAATTTTGTCTGGATCACCACCAAAATTTAATGGGATCCTCCTGGGGCTGAGACGCACCTCTGGTGAAAATTTCAGGTCAATCTGTCTGTAACTTTCTCTGTAAAGTTGCTAACAGACAAACAAACAAACAAACAAACAAACGCTTCTGAAAACATATCCTCCTTGGCGGAGGTAATGATCAGAACAACAGTTATCCAAACCGTAATTTTCAGAGCTCCCCCTAGTGACCGGCTGCAGTATAGGTCATAAATTCTGCTTCTCCGGGATAACAGGACCCTAACTCTAACATGGGCCAAAATCAAAATACAGATCGATAAATAGATTTTATCAAAAGACTCACACTTGATCTAAAATATCAGCTTCTTAAGACAAGATAAGATAAGATGAACTTTATTGATTCCCAAAAGGAAATTCAATTAAGATAATTCAATTAAAATTCAGTTTTTAGTCAGATTTCATGTTGATTCTGTCACTTTGATGACCAACAATCCAGTGCTAATGAGTTGCTAGCCATAGCATCATAACTGGACAGATAAGAGATGGGAAACAGTTCTCTAATCCATCCCTTGGCAATGAAATAAATGAAAATATCCGTCAGAGGGTTTCTTCTAATTGAATTCATTTTGGATGACAAATTAATAGAAAATTACTAACAAACAGCTTCTTCTGCTACTGTCACAATTAAGCCAGGAAATATGACCAATTAAATTATAATATGTTCATGCTGTTGTTGTTGTTTTTTTTTTGTTTTTGATTTCAGAAGGGCCAGTCTGCATGAGGCCAGAAAGAAAGCTTGTTTTTGCATTTTTCTTTTCCTCGTGTCTTGTGCTGGAGCTTTTCTCATCAGTATTTCATTAGGTTTCTATTTCCAATTAGGTAGTAGCCTCAGTGGACAAAAGTGAGGCAAACAAACAATAAATTAGGCAAAGGTGCATCTAATACATCTGCCAAGACATGCTTCAGAGCATCACATAGCTTCATGCCAAAACCCATTTTCTTCTCCCGGCATTTCAGCTGTTTTTTTTTCAAGACAACTTGAAGATACCCCTGCCAATTATGTACTATCTTTATGCCTCTTAAGTCCAACTGCAAAAACAGTACAGAGTACAGTTTTTTTTTCACAGTACTGTGTATCTTTTAACAGGCAGTTATTTCACATTAAAAGCTAACTGACTACATTAGATAGGACAAACCCATATACGGCTAATTATTTGTCCTCAAACACATATTGCGACATTCAGTAGTTATAATTGGAAATTGTTACCTGATTTCCTGCTTATCAATGCAAACAGCTGGTCCTCGGGCCTGTTGTCGCATGACAAGGCCCTAATTGCTTTCCACATGTGGTTAATGTAAGTTCATATGGTCACTAATGAGAACTGTCATACAGCAGAGCCTTTTTTTTCTATTTGAAAACTAAGAATTATTCAGATAGACAGGTTAACCCAATGGGCATAATGAGCAGAAATATTATTCAACTGGGATTGGAAGGTTTTTTTTAAATTTGTCTCTGTTGTTTATTAAAAAAAAAAAAAAGGCTGAAGCGCTTTTTCACTTTGAATTTAGGCAACAATTTATTCCAGTTTAAAGAGAAAATATCCAAACAGTATTACGAGGCTGTTTGCTGCTTAAAAGGGAGTTTGCATGTGGATGGAAATATCATGAAATAGCTCCATTTCCTAAAAAAAAATGTGGATGCTATGTAAATTGTTGATGGCAACACAGGGCTCAACAGTGCAACCGTTTCGTTTGCGACTGAAAATAGATGTGTGCGAATTGTGAAATGTATTTTGGGGCACATGTGGGTATAAAAAAATCATCTGAGGCAACAAATGTTTAGTTAGTTTAAGGTTGGATAGTCGACGGACATGCACCACTGATCTACCGGTGTCTTCTCACTCTCCATTACCGGTAATAGCAACAGCAGCGCGGTTAAATCTACTCGGCATCCTCGCTGTCAACGTCAGGTGTTGAATAAGGGACTGTCAATAAATTACAGGTTGATGTTCTCAGAAAAGGCTGTTTTCCTTCAATAGCTTCCATGTCATGTGACCAATTGACCTAATATTGATTTCAAATAATAGTACTAAGGTCGGACAACAAGACACACTCTTTATTTCCCTAATTTGTCCTCTACAAATTTTTGTGTTAAATCTAAAGGCCAATTTTGAACATTTTCTTCAATAGCTTCCATAACAGGTGACCAATTGACCTAAAATTGATTTCACAAATCAACTCAACTTTATTTGTAAAGCACTTGAAAACAACCACAGCTGAACAAAGTGCCGTATATAAACAGAAAAAACAATGCAGACGTAAAAAAAACAATCAAAAAAACAATTAAAACAATGGATAAAATAAAAGCAGAATTAAAAAGTAACATATAGTTTCAATGTTTTTAAAAACTAATTTAAAAACATAGAAACAAATCGCTAAAAACAAACCATAAAACACTAAAACAGGAGCCGAGTGTCATGCAGGGTTAAAGCCAATGAATAAAAAATAAAATAATAGTACTTATGTCGACCAATAAGACACACAATATTCGATCAATTTTCATTGTGCCCCTAAAGTTCTTCATGTTCTCCTTACTTTTTCAACATAGAAACACATCTGTTCCTTGTGAATAAAGTTAGTGTCAAGTCCTGCAACAGATTATGATGATTTGCAAATGATTTAAACCTTTAACTTAGTTTCAATATTTCATAGGTGTCCATATGCTTTGTAAGCTTGTCAGTTTTATGAGAATTTGAGGCTCGTTTTGATGCCGCTTACACATTTCAATCACATTTTTATTAGACTGAGGAGACCTGGAGAGTTTTGAAAATTAAATATTACCTCATTCTCTTCCTTTGTTGAATTTTTCACACATTTTTAATATGAACCGAATGTTTTTAGTAGGTGATAAATTGGGATGAGGATGAGGTCTTTGCTGAGAAAGTTAGTGTTCAGTTTGGAGCGTATGTCATCTCGAAACCTGCTTATACTCTTCTGTGTTTATCGAGTCTTTCTGGATGCGTACGCTAACCTCCTTATGCGTCGCCATTCCATCATGGATGCTAGTGATTCCGCTTCAAAGCAGTGGGTCCGTGGTGCAGACAAGGAGAAGGTCTTCTTAGTATGATTAATTCTTTCCTCTTATATTATTAGTCAACTCTACTACAAATACTAAGCAGTCTTCCAGCACATTATAACCTCTGAATATTTAAAGTGTTTTCAACAAAGCCACAAGCTACTGCCTGGAATGTAAACTAAAAGCCTCCTACACACTCCGTTTTCTGTTGTCGTCTTATTAGTGATTAATTCCTCGCACACCTCATTGTTTGCCATCTCTCTCCCGCCAGTGTTTGCTTTTGGTCCTGTTTGTTATGCAAGTATTATTAGCGTAAGTAAATGAGCGCGAGTCAGTGTGAGTTTGTGCATCTATTCCTCTGAGTTTGTTGATGCTCTCAGTGGGCACATCAACAAAGTCTTAGTTAGGGGAGGGGGGTAAATTTGCTCTTCCGTCAGTGGAAAGGAGTCGTCGCTGTCCAGGCTTTCGCCGGACCTCGATGGGACATGACATGAATTGAAGAAAGAGAAACAACTCAATATCCTCTTTTTCTAACAGGCTAAATATCTTTGCATCAAACACTCCAAAATATCTCCAGCATTAGCCGTTCCAACTCATACCTCGGCTGAGAGAAGTCTTTACTCTTGATTTTTTAAACAGAAAATTAATTTTGGCAGTTCGAGGAATGTTAAAAATTTCTCGTCGACCACCTGCCAGAATCATTTTCTGAATAAACAGAGGTGTAAAAGAGGCCATGTAGTGGCAGAATCACGCTTCATTTCATATTTGTTACACCTGTTTTAACAGATGTTGATGAGGTTTGGCAGTTACCTGAGGCAGAAAGTCAAATCAACATCAAAACAGTTCTCATTGTTTCCTGATTGGGCCTGCATTCATCTTGTCAAGATCAATTTCGGGGTTTTTTGTTGAATGGTTTTCACACAGGAGCAAAAATGGAGACTGTTGTTTTTTTTTAAGCCAACAAGTACAATGCTTGATTGTTGTCCTGGAATAAAACCGTTTATTTAATATCCACCTTTATCACCAATGCGTATATTTTTTCGGAAAAGGTAATGTAATGTAATTTTAGAACAACTAGGCTAAAAAGAGGAATCTCACAAGATCAAGACCTAATTTTCTAACATAAAAGCTCCAGTGAGGAGTTTTTATACAGCTGTGAAAGAGATTTAAATTGATACTAATACCACTCAATGATATTAAATTGCAAAATACACAATAATCTACAAGACGGACGGTTTCTACGACACCCAAAAACAATTTGTGGAGTGATTAATGGCACAGTTTTAGTCAAAATTAACTCGACAAAGACAGTGGATAGGAATTTCTTTTGACTGTTTAAAGAGTCAGGGTGATTTTTTTTTGTAAATAAAAGAAAAAAAAACACCACAACAGGAGAAATCAGTTAAGAGATACGAGGTTCGCCTTTGTCCAAGAGGGCGTATCAAAGCTGATATCGACTTTAAGTCAGAAGATTACTCTGAAAATCAAAGGAGTTTGACAAATAATACAGTTTTGAGTATTTTGAGGCTTTTGTGTTGTTGATTTGTTCAGAGGACAGACGCCGGAACTATGGAGAGAAACAGTGTGAAAGTGAATGGTGGCGATTTTCACAGTGCGCCAACTCCTACCGGATCTTTTCAGCAGGAATCGCAAGAACCCACAAGAACCCGTGGCTTTATGTGCAATCGCGCGATAACAGGTTGTCTTCAGCCACACAGGCTAGCAGTAGATTGTGTCCTTCCAGAGGAGGAATTCGGCTACTAGATTTCTAAAATCAGCATCTCTATATCCATGGTGTCCTCGGGATAAAATGCTGTCTAAAACCTTAAACTTGATCGTACCCGCCCGTTTGCATGGTGTGAAATACGATCCTCCTGAAACACATAGTGTTTTATTTTGAAAAGAAGCTGGATGTTTTATTTTGTGTCTTTGCCCGACTTCCTTTCCAGCACAGGTTAATCTGTGCTGAACTTATCCGGCATGCTTCGGCGTCCAGAAAAAATAGTACTCTTGCACTTAGCTGCAGAGTCCGGTGATCCACAGCTGAACGGAAAGAAGCCGGTGGAAATTGACACATTAACTTGAATGGTTACGATCGGCGGATACGGCCTTTTCATAGCCGTTCTGGACGCGGTGGAAATTGCCCTTAACTGTCACTCTGTCGCATCCATACCTGTACCCAGACCCCTTTATCCTGGACCAGACCAAGTAAAGAACATTATCTTGGGGGGTATAGGATGGCGAGGCATGAGACTATCAGGAAAAATGTAACCATGGCAACAATAATATATATATGGGGTAAGTTAGGGTCTCAACCAGCATCCTCTGTTATTTGTTTATGACGATTTAAACATCTGTCCAGGGGTCTTCCTCTCCCCACAGTCATGTCTCGTCTTCTCTAAAGATATCAGGCCTTAATGGGCAAACTTTGCTGCGAACAAGGAAAACACTCGGACTCATTAAAAGACTTGATGGAAAATTCAAACCCGAGATAACCTTGTTTCATTTTTTAGCAGCTATTGTAGTAGGAGGTGAGAACTTGTTATCCTCGGCTGTAGGTGAGGAGAGTAATAAGGCGATACGGAGGTTTTCTGCCAAGAAAATACACGAGTTTGTTTCATCCGATCAAAGAAATTTACGTGCTTTAGCGAGGATTAGGGTCTTCACTGTGATACAGCTGCTTATCCTCTATGTGTGTTGGATGACTTGTAGAAAGCACACTGGTTGAGGACGAATTATTGAGCCCATTCAGCGCTTCATGGAGAAATATAAAATAAAGTCATTCACTGAGAACATAGATGGAATTAAGAGAAGCAATCGTGCAGTCATGGTCGTAGCAAAGAAAAAAACTCCAATTTAATTAAAACTTTTTTGTGAAATGTTTGAAAGAAGATTGATCGAGTTTGAAATGCTTTAAAAAGGATTTGGAGTCATGTTTCATTTTTGTGGGTTTCTATCTTACAGTTAATATCCAAAAGGCGACAAAAAACCCAAATGAACGGATGGGTGCGTCTATACAAATCCCTCCATCTCCTTTTTTTTTTTCCATGATGAGGAGGTATAACTCCGCAAACATGCCGTTCCCTAAAACAGGAATCAGAGCAAAGACAAAGTAATGTGAAGTGAATCTTCCTTAAGAAGGTCAGCTGGAGAGCGCGGAGCCGCGACCGTGACCATGTCAGTTTTGTTAACGTTTAGACAGCATGCGGCAAACTGGAATTGCAGTTGGTGCAGTTCTGCTTGTCATGCTTCATATTTGAGAGAGAGCGTGAGCGCGTCCCGAAGAATATGAAGATCCGTCAGTAACGAGGTCATTTCGGTGCAATGGCAACAACTCCGGACACTTTTCATTCTCCTTTCTCTTCTTGCAGATTTCTTTCCTAGTTCAAAGTTTTCCATTGTTGACCAGGAGGGATCACAGCCCCGCTGACCTTTCAGCTGTGCCTTAAGAGACATGTTTCAGCCACGAGTCTCTAATCACAGTTCATGCCCTTTCACATGACATCAGCTTCGAATGGAGCCGAAGGTTTAGCCTCTGGGCTGCCGTATTGCTTCTATGTGCTGACCTTTACTCTACGTTTACTATATGATCGCGGAACATATAAAGTCTTGCCTCCTTCTTTCTAAAACTGACCTCCATTCAGATTCTCTCAACAACAACATTCGTCTCTCAATTTGCCCCAATCCAGGAAACAAACACCTTTGACTATTATAAGCATTCGGATCTTGTCCAGAAAGGCTTGCCAATACGGCATCATGCACCTTCTGTCTCCCTCTGGAGCCGTATGCAAAGCGCCGACAAAAATACCTGACCAGCCGCAAGGAAGCTAAGGTGAACGCCTTTTATCACTCTGACATAAGTGAATGAAATGAGGAGGAAATGGAGAGATGGCAATTGGGACAAATCGCCTTGAAAATCGAACATGACAAGCCTCTGATTGTAATCTCCATGTAGACTTTTTGGGGATGGAGTGTCCATGACGAGGGTGAAATATGATTGAATATGAAGCTAATTTTTGGAGGAAGGTGGCAGAGGGAAACAGACCCAAATATATTTGATGTACCTGGCGGTATTCGCATGCACCTGCACACTTCATGGCTGTTTCTCTGGGAGCAAAACTTGGAAGATAATTTTAGAGTTGAGGCTTTCATGTCTGGTGGCATCTAGACTTTTTGGACTGGGGTGGGGGAATGAAGTTTGTGTATAAATTAGTCGATATTATCTTTTTCCCTCTTAGGTTCTCGAAATAATCAAGAAGTCAACTATGTGCTTAGGTTGTGTCTTCATACAAAAATGTCATCCTGCCATTTTTTGTCCATCAAATAATTATAAACTTTTTGTAGTAAATATAGAAACTTCAGTCGGACATCTGCAACAGCAATCCAGAGGAACCTACGGGATGAGGGAGCTCATAGACGGCCCCTGCAAAAAAGTGTTTTTTGTGACGGGAAGAACAGTTCTTTTCTTCACTTGGTGACACATGTTGTTCATTCGCCAAGTCCCGAAGGAAGAATCACTCCCCTGCCCTGAAAAACCCACCTCTCTGTGTGTCGCCGTCGGCGGAAACAACACAGCAGCACGCCCGCTAGACAAGCGCGAGTCGTCTTTCTTTTAAAACGTGGAAAAGTGGAGAGATTAAAAATACATAAACATCGCAGCTGTAGCGGGAATTCTGCTACTTTTAAAGAGATCAAATAGCGTTTTGCTAAATCGGCTGAAATTAAATCCTTCTTGCAGGAAAGTTTATACACGTATTTAATGCAAAGGCGCTATAATGACCTGTTTTATCTTAGCCTCAGTGAACGAACCGGTGCTCGGCAGGTCATGAACGACGCTACACCCCTCCCTCCTGCTTGCATCAAGTCATTTGGAAGTTCACCATATCGTTCACAGACTGAGTGATCCATATCGTTCATTCGTTCATGTCGTTCGCCAAAGAGTCAAAGGCAGCAGTTCCACTCCCGACCTGCGTGCCAGGCTCAGGTCTCGAATCAGGTCTTGGAGTGATTACGTTCACATCGTTCATTTAGCAGTTCCGTTCTTTTGAACGAAACGTACATGAACGACACGACACTAGCCATGTCCCATCTGTTTACATGGAGGAGGCGGGCTTTATGACTGCAGCCAATCACTAGAGTCGTTTTGCTTTAGTCTGATTATATCTATCAAATGTAGTTTGACACGTACTCTGAGTAAAACAGACTGATGTGTTATTCCATGTTTCTTTCTCTCTACTGTATCAGTTGAAGGCGACGCCTCACTGAGCAGGAACACTGCAGGTTTACAATCCTTCCCATAGGTTAGGGCACAGGCCAGCGCACAAGTGAGAAAACAACTGTTTAGTGTCTGTTTTCACGCACTCAGGCGAGAGATTTCTGTGCGAGCGAAAAAAATCCCAGTAATTGTAGAGCAGACTGACCAAAGCCTGGGGCAAGAGCGGATAAAACTCTGCGTGTGTAAAGGAAAATTTCTCTTCTCCTAATTGTTTGCATACTAAAATTATAATGCAAATATCTTCACCGTCAACAAACTTTGCTCAAACTTGGTACACACACACCCCGATGCATAGCGAGTTTGCTTGTTACCAATGCGTTGAGAGCGGTTGTAGATTAAACACAGGACAAAGTCCGATCCATCCTGAATTTAATCAAGCTATAGCCCGGAGCGAGGTAAAAGATAATTTCCCCATATGCATTGTAATCATTAGCTTAATGTTTTGTTTTTGAAGAGGCAGATATCACAGAATGAATTGTTAATACTCTGCGTACTTCAAACACCACATTTATAAAAGCATAGTTGAGTGAATTTCTTAAGAGGATGTTTTAAAAAGAGCCGGAAGATCTTGTATAGCTTCTGTGCAGATGCTTGTATAGTAGAACTGCGATAAATGTTCCGCTGAGATGTAGATAAATGTCTTTTTCAATAGGGGTGTCTGTAAGTAAGGTGGAATTATGCTCTAAATATGTCAGTAGCCTTGACAGCTCCTCCTGATGTCTTCTGGGTAATCAGTGGTAAGAATTTGTCTCAATGCATATTCAGAAGCACGCATACTAAACAGACACAGATCCTCGCTGCAAAAATGTGCGATGACACTCTTTTTCAAAAACCCGAGATCACCATAGGTGTAAATGGAGCATGAATTGTGTGTGTCTGTGTGTAAAGGGAAAGCGGATGTGTGGTGTTTCCATTTCTTCACACTGCTGCATGCTTTAATCTTCTGTTGGTAACAGGCAAACACCAGCGGGCTCCTCGCTATGTAGATGGGCTGAATAAATTCCGATCGGCACATGCATGCATAAGCACACGGCTGCGAAAACCATACTGTGCACAGTCATGAAGGCTGCATTAGCTCCAATATTTCATGAACGCACAAGACAGCAATGGGCCTGGCTGGGCAACGTCGCTATGCAATTATGTGGACTGAGGTCTGCACTGCAGTATACTTGATTGATCCTATCAAGCCGAAATGGACCCAGGCACCAGAATGGGCTGGGGCAGTAGTTTATCATGAAGCCGGGGTGTATGAGGAAACGGAGCTGGTTACTTGTTAAGTCCTCTGAAGTCTTTTTCTCTTCATACTTTATATTTTTTCTTATTACCGGACTGTTAAATCTTGAAATTACCAATTAAAAAAATTAATAAGGCAGTTTAGGCAAAGATCACTGTCATCATTAAAAGGACAAACACCAGACAAACCGAGGCCTCCATTTATCAAGCGTGTCAATCCATCCGAAACTTCCCCCAATGACATTTTGTCTCACAGACGAGAGTCATAACTCACAAAACTTGTCCAATCTTATTTTCGGTCGACCTGTTTTGTCACGGCGCCTCATAAGAGTCATTTCTAAGATATGAGAACACCAGACGCTGCTAAAGAAAGGCAGATAGATCCAGACACATGTGCAGCCAGACAGTCAGACAAGTTGTTAACAAGCAAGTTGTTTAGTCGGGTTTTTGAGACAATATAGTGGATATTCATGCTTTATAATAAACAAGTATAGTCTGACTTTCATTTTCTATAAAAACATTAAGCTAATGTTGCTAGTAGTACTTTCAGGATGTAGCTTTGTTTAGCACATCCTGAGTAGTTTCCACTGAGGAACACTCAATTGTAGGAATTAATACAACGTCATAAATCAAATACACCTCATTATTTTGTTAAAATTGCAATGATTTCACAGCGTGTTTTAAGTTTAAGAAACATCCCGACAGTGCATTAGCTAATATCAGAACAAAGCTAATGTTAGACACCCTGTCAAGAGATGAATGCTCCCGACCGCTTGCTTCTCCAACTTTAGTAACGACCGCACGATAGCAATACAGAGAGCCACACGCTCAAACAAAACACCACTCTATCGCTACAAATAATGCTCAGAACAGCACCTAACTTCATCAACAGTTCATTGTTTGTATGGGCGGGCGAGTCCATCGACTGCAGTGGGGTGTCGCAGCTCAAGGAAGAACATTTATGATCATTACTTTATCATCTCCTTGAAGTAATAATCATCATATTAATCATTTTGCACTGCAGACGTGGTAGTTCTTCTGTCTTAGCGTCTCGGTCTGATTGCATTTCCATGAGGAAATGATCATAAATGTTCTTCCTTGAGCTGCGACACCCCGCTAGAGTACTTCAAACACAGAGGGAAAGACAGGTGAGGAGATGGAGGATGGTTCAAAAGTTGTAGCGGCTGAAGTAGATGAAGTTAATGTGGGAGAGGGTGAGCAGCTTGTGGAGTAGTTATCGTCTATTTATCGTTGTCCAGGTGAACTGCTCAATATATCGTGATATTGATTTGAGGCCGTATCACCCAGCCCTATCAGTTATTATTATTAATGCTTTTACGCAGTCTTTATGCTGCCAAGAGTCACACTGACAGTAGATGAGGATGGGTTCAGGGTGGGTCTGGGACTTATCTTGATGTATAATGACCCGTATGGTCCAGAGCAGAAAGCATCTTGTTGCTTAAACAGATGAATAATAGAAAATAGTCACATTCACAGGACATTGTTGGAGATAATCTAGTCAGTGTAACACAAGTTAATAAACCAGTGTAATGTGCGATGAAACCTCCTCAAGCGTCGCAAAAAAAAAAAAGGCCTAATTTCACAAAGCTAAGTATCCCCTGGTATATATCATTTTTATGCATTTTGTTCTACCTCCCACTCCCACTTTAGTCCCCCCCTTTCCTGTTGGCCTGTTAGTGGGACAGCTGAGGAGAGCGCCTGTGATAACTGCCATTAGCATGCCACTAGTCGGGTGTTAATATGCAGTTTCTCCGGGATGGCATTTTGCACCGTGTTATTACCGCTGTCCAGATGTCAGTGGAAGGGTCGGCCTGGTGTGCATGCATGTGTGTGTGTATGACTGGTTTTACTGCCTCACATTTCAGCCCTCCTCTCCCTCTCTCTCTCCTTCTCTCTCGCCCTCTCCAGTCCACCTCTACCAATCTAGTGCAGCATTTATGTTCCGCCTTCAGTGTGGAGAAAACTATTCTTTGAGATTTCCTATAATTTTAGCTAATTTCAGACAATTTTGCCGCTTCCATTCATTTCGCCTCATCTCTGCTCTCTCTATTGTGTGCACAAACAAGCATTGATTGTAGCTTTCTTTTCTTTTTTTTACCTCTTAGGCGTCTCTAAAACACAAATATCCTTTATGCTTATGAAAAGAAGTGTCTTTTGAAGTCAGATCTAACCGTGTTTATTTCTTTCCTGCTTGTATTTTTCCTCTTAAGATATATCTGGACTCATTCTATGCCTTTACCATCATCATTACATGCAGCAGAGATGTTAGTCTATTAGCACACACTGTATTGTTCTCTGTGGTCGGGCTAATCTGTTCCCTAATTGCCTGGACAGACAGGGAGAGGTCCAGGCTCCATTTGGCCAGTCCATTTCACACAGGCCGTTTCCACGCCATTTAGCAGGTGGAGCACATTACACATCTGCTTAAATGAGAGGAGGCTGTGAGATCAGAGCACGCCGCTAACGCTCGTAGCATTATGGCTTTGTCTTCAAAGTGGCTCCCATCGTTCACCTTCACAAGGTTGGGAAGCCATGTGATCAGGAACTGAAAAGTTTGGGGAGGGAAACTTTGTCCGGCAGCTGTTGACCTTTTTTCACCGCTTTCATTTAAAGGGGAATTAAAACACTGATTTCCCTTATTTAGATGTTTTGATCTGAGCTTTATGACACTCATGGAGCCCTTTAATGCCTGACACCACAAATTATGGCCCGAAAATTCAAATTTTCTTTGGAGCTGAAATGTTTATTTCACTTACTACTGAAAACCAAAAAACAAACAAAAAAAAAAAGTCCTTAATTTTAGAAAATATATTTATCTCGTTAAATACATTAGATGTTATTGGAAACTGATAAACTACAATAGGATAATTTATAGGGCTGTATTCAGGTGGTTTTTTGTCCGTAATTTGTTGATCATATTGATTTGATAGAAGTTTATAAAAGTATGTATCAAATATGATAAAGTCTTGTTGATGCTACCCGTTGGTTTCTGAAGAGCATCCACAGACGAAGGTCCTTACACAACTAATCTTTGGCTTCCCTAGAAACCAAAACAGGAGTTGAGGTTTAGGCTATAGTCTCCGAGTTAGCTCACAGGACCACCCATGAATCAAATCAACCAATCAAATAGTGATAAATAGTTCTTATGAACAAAGAACTGAGGTTCACTGTAAATTCTAACCCAAACTAGCATTAGGCTGACCTAGAAACAGCCAAATAAGTGGTTTCAGATGGGTTAAATGTGCCATCCTTTCAATCAAATGAATGAATTATTTGAAAAGTAAGAATTATTCATCGTACAGTTCAGAATCAGAATCATAAATGCTTTAATAATCCCCAGGGGGAAATTGCTTTTGTGACAGTAACTCCAGTGCAAATAAAGTAGAAAGAGGAGATAAATATTAGATAAAATAAGTAAAAATAGAGATAAACAAATATGCAATATATACAATTTTTACCATATAAAAGTATATACACTATATACAACACGAAATATGCATACAAACAGTTAGAAGAGTCCAGGTAAAGACTCTGCTTAATGTTTGTATGCATATTTTGTGTTGTATATTGTGTATATACTTTTATATTGTAAAAAAAATATAATAATAATAATAATAATAATAATAATAATAATAATAATAATAATAATAACTAAAAAAAACAGTTGTTACAAACACGAAAAATAAACTTTTTAATTTTGGCTAATCTGGAAACTAGCAAAGAGATGTCAGTAGAGCCATCACACACAAAAAAAAACACACAAAAAAAAACAAAGTGTTTATCTGGAATTTTCTACGTTTTGCGCCATGAAGCAGAGTTTAGGTGACTGGGCATGCACTGATTCAAAATTGAAAGAAAAGGGGGAAAACTGGTGTTTTATTGACCAAACAATGTTCGTAAATGAGGTTTTCTTCACAAAGGAAAATTTTCACAACCTTTATTCTTGACACAAGGTTCTGTTGTTGATGTTTTCTGTACGGTTCAGTTTTTGTCGTTTTTGAGGTCCCTCTTTAGAAGCTGAGCCTTGAGCAGCTTCTTCATCTAGTTGCTGATTTGAAATACATTGTTTTGTAGCGCCTAGTCATGAGACCATATTTGGAGGGTCAACAGGCCTCTGCTGGTCTCAGACGAGGCCCTGAGGCATTCAAGTCCCCCTCTCTAACCCTTCCTTGGTGCACTGCTGGAGTAGATGTTGGGGAAGCATGCAGCAGCTGAGTATAAAATTCACCCTGAATCTTTTCATCAGCCTGGTACCTGTCGATGGTACCTGAGACAACCCGGTCCAATAATATCACTTCCCTGGCACTCAGTGCAACAACTGCACTTACTGTCCAAGGACTCATATTGGGGACAAAATGAGGTAAGAAAAGGGCAATGCGGAGGTGTGTGTTTGCGCTCCTGCCAGTATACCACTGATGCCATAAAAGAAAAAAATAACAAAAAGATGGCACAATGAGATGCCAACTAATCTCACTACCAGGCACACACGGAGCACTAAAGCTCATCTCAACTTTGGTTGCCATCCAGGTCATCTCCCTCCATCTCTTACACTCTCCCAGCATGTCAAGCCTGATGTGAAAGGAAATATCGCGGAGGGCAGAGGCAGCCCAAACAATGAGAGACACACAACCTCCCCTAATTTAATCTTACAGCAGATGGCAAAATGTAACCTATGGCCCTGACAGATTGCTGTTTTGGTAAAGCCTTCCAGCTCGATTCGTGAGGAAGCGAGCGAGGCAGACAGAGGAGGCGGGGAGGCAGGAGCTGTAATGGCGGATGCAGGGGAAACAAAGATAGAACGAGCAGATATCTGAGATGGAGAAGCCGCGTCGGACTCGAGCTGGAGTTATAAAACGAGAAGACAGTTCGACCTGACAGAATTGAAAAAGATCAACAACCTGAACCGTCTAAGGTCAAACTTCAACGCGCGAAAACTCGGGAGAGAGATGTCAACAAGCATGAAAGGCCAATTAAGAGCAAAACTCCGAATGGCGATGATAGGCGATGAAGTGAGATGAGACGAAGAGCAGGGAAAACAACTCAAAGCCGGATGATAATTACGAGCCAGATCCTCTGATCACTTGTCATCCGTGATGCAGATGATAGAACAAGTGAATGAGTTTTAATTAGGCGTGCTACTTGGAAGGCTGACCTTCCTTAACCCGCATCTGTGGCTACGCTGCCGTAGATGCGGAGTCTGAGATGTGAACCAGCCTCGGCGTTTATTTATTGTCATGATTTTTGCAACCTGACAAACGCTAGTCAGAGATACAGCTAACTCGTGGCTCAGCTTTGGTCGCCACTAATTGTAATGTAAATTGGTCTCAAGCTGCAAATGCGGTTCAAGAAGTCACTAATATGGTTCAGAACTTATTGTTAATTGTCGACTAATTCCTTTGAGTGAGTTGAACTACTTAAAGAAACTACAACTGGCCAATGCTAGCTTCTGCTGCTAGGAGAAACATTTTTATTTCAAAGTGCTAGCTAAAAATAACGGCCTCCGAATGATAGTAAATATGTGAGTGGAAAACATTAGGTGCTAAAATTACTTGGAGATGCAAGTTTAAATGAATTATTGCCAATGTAAAATAAATCAGACTTTTTCGGCTAGTTCTTCACGATGATAGCAAGTCTGTTTTTGTTTGATAGATTTTGGTTTTTTTTCTTTAACAATTTTTATTAAGTTTAAAAACATAATTGTAAATTGTCGATTACTTACTTTGAGTGAGTTGAAATTCTTAAAGAA